ACAATCTGTTCGGTATTTCCCTGCATTCATATTACACATATTATGGGACAAGAGAGAGTAGAGAATTTGAGATTATTGAATCTCTATATTATTGTACCAAATTTACGCAACTACATAAGCTCGCTAGATTATTTACATAATCAAAATTATTTATGTCCATAATTTACCGGTATTATTGTTATGCAAAACCACTAATCACACTGTAATAACATTCCCTGTCTCACTGCTCTTTTATTCATATAATTAATATATAGCTAAACTTTACACAGTCTATATCTTAAATTAATATTGTTCACGTAATTAGATCAAACAAAGTGGCGCAGTTGCGTAGATACGAGTTTCGTCTAGATGATATTATGCATGTTACCAAATATATATGTGACATTTAATCGCTAATGAAGGCAACAGTATTCCGAGAGAGATTCCAAATAATAATAACGGTTAATATCACGTTTCGCGTCAGGTGGGCGGTACGCCACGATTTACCATGCTCGTATCTACGCACAATATCCGAGCAAGTATTCAGCGCGATGGCCTCGACGATTCAATTCAAGGCTAAAATCCCTTCGAGAAAACACTAAATATACGCGGCGCACTTAAACCGAAGGCCGAAACGGCGGCCCTATGCTAAACTCCGGTTCTCCGTCTTAACGCGGCCGCGCTTTCGCGCTTTATTCGCTAAAGCTCGCTCGGAAATTTATAGGTGTACCGTAAACTGCCGCGAACGAGCATCCTTCTGAGAATTATGAAGAGGAGGACGCGCAAAGCGGGGAAGGATCCGCCATTTATCCCGAGGAGCGTCGCGTATCGCAAACACGAGCGGAATAGAGGACACGCTGTTCCCACATCTTCCCAGCCGGTTGTTACACGAAGAAGCTGGCTAGCACGTGGTGCACAACGGCGATGCAACATCCGCGTTGCACCGTTTTGCTCGTCTCAATGCGCTTCTCTTACGGTTTTCTTTGCAACCTGATGTTATTCCTTCGCTCCCGCGAAGGCGGTATTACGAGCCGCTACTTTTACGGGTCAGATTGTATACGCTCGTAACTCGCGCGCTCAATACTGCTGGTTGCATCGACGAAGAAATGGATTCGTCCTCCATCCGTCTTCCCGTATATGTTCGTGAACCTAGCATATCATTTTCCAGCAGATCAAAAATAAAAGAGAGTTCTTGTCGCATGCAGTCGAGTTCTATAGTTCCTTATAGTTTTTAGTAATAGTTCTGGTGATTTTATCCAAAAAAACACCAATCGAAAAAAT